CACTGTGCTAGTTTAAAAAAATGCTCCAGTTTTAGAGAAGACCTTACAGGTGTTAGACATGGCAACACTGTGAAGTGTACTCCCTGTCCAGATTTGTTAAATATGCATCATGGATAATTTCAGCTACAGATCTGTATTCTTTCTGTCCTAAGGCTTAGTAATTGATAATACCCTGCCTAGAGAAGAGGGTGGAGAAGGAAGACAAGAAATTGCTGAAAAATCAAATTTGATGTGTAAAGCCATGTGAGAAACCCGTTCTACTCTCCTGACATTTATAATTGTGCCATCATATTGAGTTAATATTTGTAGAATTGCCCTCTCAGAGAGAAAGAGTATGATCTGGTTAAAGAGGTAAGCAGGCACATAAAAAGCAGCAGAGAATCCTCTGTGGTTTTTTTAGTACATGGGAATATATCATGTGTCATTTATCCAAATATACAACCATTTACTGTCTCTGGGGCTCTAAATCCCCCTTCCTCACCAAATACACCGTCATTACTGTTGGCTGTTATCACCACATACATGCAATACAGTTTCAACTTCTCATGTAGACGTATTGCTGAATCCTTTAGTTGCCAACTGAAAGCAAAAGTTCCCTGGGTAATTCATGTCCCCTGTCACGTCCAGTGTCTACTGCTCTTTCTACCTCTCGGCCACCCTGGATGTGTCTTGCAGAAGGACTTGTACATCATAGAAAGATGGGAAGAGTGGTACTAGCTGCTCCCAACTGGTATCTATGCTGCCTTACTTCACCTGGGGAAAGACGGGGATACACACAACCTGTGAGAAACCGTCTCAGCAGAAGCTGGCGTGAATTGATTATTTAATAGTGAACACGCACAGTGCCTGCTTTTATATTATTTTTATGCCTATGGTACTCGTGCACATTCGGTGAGATTACTGCCTAAGGCTGCCCCCAAAGAGCTGCAAGAATAGGAGCCCACTGAAGTCATGCTGGTTCTGTTGCATGTCTTAATGAAGCTTTAAAATGCTTGAAATTGTCTTTGAAATGAAATATTCCATAGCTGCAAGCTAACTGCATACTTTGTAATAATTGCTTAGCCAAATAAAGGAAAATTGTGAGGAACAAAGAAAAATTAGATTGATGGCTAGAAGAAAATGATTAAATAAAAAATTCATGAAGAAGATAAATTTAAAAAAATAGCATAGCATCACAGGTTTTTGCACAAAGACTTCCCTTCCAATGGGAGCTTTTCTTTTCCAACTCTTAGTGTGCATTTTATTCTCCCCTTTTGCTACAAATAATAGAAAAACTTTTTCTCTGGGAATAATGGTCACAAATTTACGCAGAAACTGGGACACAGAGTAAAATTTTAAAACAGGTATGCATTTCACTGCCATTCTGAGTGGGGTTTGGTGCACTGTAAATAATTCATGATTTGACTGGAATTGCCTTTTTTTTTAAACTCTTAAATCAACTGTGACTAAACAGAAAAAACCCAGAAAGATTTCTGTTCATAATTATCAGGCCAAATTGTACACTTAGAGCTCTCCCTCATTCAAATGTACTGCTCTTAGTGGCCATTAGTAACAGAATTAATAATTTGCTGTGAATAAATTCTCTTTTGGTTAGCTTGTCTCTCTGTTTGCAGGTTAAGACCAGCAAATCGTTATTTGTGGGCATGTATTAATGTCCAAAAATAACTGAGCAGTATGCAATTATTTGTTTTGAACAAATTATTTTTGAAGAATCACTACACCGCCAGGTTTGTGTCCTTGCTACGGCATGAAAAAAACATTCTGGAATGATTTTAAATTACAGTGCATTTAGGAAGAAAATACAGAAAATAGTTACAGTGAACAGTAGGACTTCAAGGAAACACCTACAAGCTAGCGCAGGCATTTTGAAATGTGATTGTTATTGTAAAGTCTTTAAGTGGTGCCTGGTAATAGATATTTAATCTAGGAAAAGCACTTTCATTGCTTACTTGTTAAAGTAATTTAATGGATGAGTGATGCTATTAATGAACCACATGTAGAATCTGGACTTTTTTGTTCAAAACATTTCTTTAGCTTTTAAATTTCTAAACAGGTTCAGAGGCAATTTGAAGAGATCCAGCCTATATACAAGCTACGGGAATTGTCATCTATGAACTTTTCTTCTTAGCATTTCCTCTGTATTGCGAAGAAAAGAGTCATCACTATGTATACATATGTGCAAGTTTAAGTTGGCTGAGTGATATACCTTGTTTTGACAAGGTTGTTAGAAGCCAGAGACTGAATGGATGTATGATTGAGCATGCAGAGAGAGATGAACAGAGGGCTTAAAACCAGTTGTAAGTTATCTAAAAAAAAAAAAAAAAAAAAATAGTGAAGGGCATTAGAAATATCTGTAGCATAGTTCTTACAAAAAATTCAAGCAAAATGGCAGACACTAAATACCTAAATACTAGCAAAACTAGCCTCTCTTCCCAACTCAACACTTTGGGATGCTTGAATAATTGAAGATAGACATGTGGAAAGCAGATGATCAGGTAATGAAAATGAACTTTTAAAGTTGTTTTTTTAACACCAGTTAGGATGATAAAATCACTCTATTCTGAACAGTTGCAGAAGTTCATTGATAAGCGTTGCAGTTTTGCTTCAGCTAGTACTTAATTTCTGAACACATGGCTATGTATTGCTGAAACTCAGATTATTACCTATACAGAGTAGAAAGTTGAGGAAATAATTTATTGTAAATGTCCCTGTGACTCCATGTGTGTCACTGCACAGTCACATAGTTTAGTGAAAAACTAAAATGTGGTTGTTGATTCCAAGATCAGCTGTTTCCAAATAAATGTTTGTGAAACCTCCAACTTTAATAGCTGCATTGTATCATCCAAAAGATGTGCACAGAATGAATAGATGACCTTTCAGATAGAGAACAAGCTGTTTACAATGTTTACAATGTCTTTTCATTTACTGAGACAAAATATTCTTTCTGTGCAGAGATAATACTTTCCACCGTTTTTAACAATGTTAATGAAATATAAAGAATTTAATTGTTTCATTTCCTAATGCAAGGGGGTTTAGCTATGCATCTTTAGAACAGGACTCTTTCTAGACCAGCTGTGTTAAATGCATTAATCTAGCTAGATTTTTTTTTTTTTAAGACAATGGAGGTATTTGAATCCCGTGCTCACAGCTCAAATTAGCTATCCATCCATATGATATCCACATGATACCTGGGTTTGAGTGATATATGGATGAATTCTTACTGCCATCCTGCACTGCAGCTATGGGTCAATAATTTACTGACAAGGAGGTCCAAGGCAGCTGTAACTGAAATTGGTCTAAATTACTGTGAAATTGCAGCCTTGGCGTGGAAAGCTGCCGGTATTCTCTCAGTTGCACGCTTGTACATAAGCACTGGCTTGGATGGGAACAGATCACAGACAAGGAGTGAGAAGATCAGGGTATGGAAATCAAGGCTCAGCCTTATCTTTCTCATGTGAGGTACAGTTTGGCCCTTAGTCTTTGCAGTTGTAAATCCACCACTTAGTACCAATTACGCAATTGTGACTTAACTAGTAACGACTAGTTATACTGGTAAAGTATTTTTTGCTCTGCAGTATAACCAGAATTACTTCTGTTATTGTTCAGTCTCTGTCCGTGTTCCTGTTCTTATCTGATAAAGCAGGTGGTGCAAACCTGTTTTCTTGTTAAAGGGAACACAGTATATCTGCTGGAATTCAAAGAAACACAGTGAACAGGAATTCCTCAAAACTTGATGAAAATCTTGCCACTTTTGGAAGAAAAAAACCCAAAAAAACAAGCACAAGCATTTTTATTTTGGGGTTAAAAAGACCAATATAATTCTCTTGTCTGTTTGCAGAAAACTGAAGATTTTGTTTTTATGAGCCAAATACAAATTCATTCCTAGATCACACGTCATATATGAGTAGCTTACTCAAATTGGAAGCAGGTCCAAGTAAGATCAGGATGCTCAAGAGCTTTGCCCAGGCAAGCCCTGAACACACCTGATGGTGGAGATTCTGCAGTCTGTCTAGGCAACCTGTCCCAGTGGTTGACCCTCCTCACAGGAGAAAAAAAATAAATCCCTTGTATCTAGACAAATTTTCCTTTGTTGCAGTCTTTTTGTTGAGGGTTGCCCCTTATACTTTTGCTGCATGCCTCCAGGAAAAGTCTGGCTTGGTCTTATCCCTACTCTGTCACTGGGTTGTTGAAGACCACCGTAACATTACCCTTGAGCCCTCTCATCCTAGAGCAAACCCAGACCTTTCAGCCACCTACTGTGTTCGGTAAAGGTTTGGAAAAATCCTAAAACTAGTGTGGCATGGGAAAGAGGAAAGTGACCCTGAGATCCAAACTGGTAGTGCCGTTCATCTTGACAGCCTGAGGTGCTACAACTGCAGTGGGTAGTTACTGTTAGTAAGTACCTTCTGCCTGATTTGTAACGCTGACAGAAACCAGAAAAAAACACTCCTGTATTGTAATTAAATAAACCTTAGAGAAAACTTCTCAGCACTTACAGTGATGTCCACAAGACTAACCAGCTGAAGATTAGAATGTATCTCGTGGTTCTCAAGTGCTATGCATTGATGTTATCACAGTACATGGCAATTACAGTTTTCTCTTTCCTATTACTAGAAGCTTTTCTTCTGAATTTTCAAAACAGCTTAGTTCATGGAAAGGTTGCTTTGCATGCAGCAGAGCCAACTGGCATGGTGGTGTTTGTGAAAAGGACTCTTCCTTACAGATTCCTGAACTGTGGCTTATTTTGTGCTTGTTGGTTCTTTGAGAGCTGAGGATGTGCTTTTAAAATAAAGGATCTAATCTCTGCAGTGGCAATGTATTGTTAACTGTTTGACACTTAATTTGATGTATTCTGTATACTTTGGACATCTTTTTTTTTTTTTTTTTTTTTTTCTGGGAGGAGGTCCTATTCCTGCCATGCACACTAACAGGTGTAGAAAACTCTCTTCCTCCTCTCACTAATGTATTGTACCTTGGACTTTTTTTGTCTTCCTCTGCAGAAACTCTCCTGGATGACTTCCTTCTCACATACACAGTCTTCATGACGACTGATGACTTGTGCCAGGCACTTCTGAGGCAATATCCTTTTATTAAGTGTTATATTAACAGGAGTCACACGCTTACACCTAGGTTTATCTTTTGTCAAGCCTTATATCAAATGTAGTAAATTGCCTGTCTGGGATAATTAGTTTTGCTTTTTGCATATTGGTGTTATTGAAATACAAGCCTGCGTGAATATTTTGAGGTCGCATGTAAAAATGGTGAGAAAAGAGAACAATTGTCTGATGTTTAGTGTGGTGTGCTTAGAATGTGGACAGCAATTGAGATTTTGGTACCCCAAGAAATGCATGAACAAACAGGAGAAACTTCAGAAGAAAGCAATGGTAATTACCAGTATTCTAGGAAAAAAAAAATACCTACAAGGAAGAATTGAAAGAATTGTGATTGTTTTACTGAAAAAAGGCAAACTATAAATGGGACAATCTCTCAAGTACCTAAAGAGGAAGGGAAGAATCTGTTCCCATCTCAATGCTAGACAGGACAAGAGGCAGTGAGATTAAATTGATGTAAGATATTTTGTGCTGGATATTATGAAATTTTTTTTTACATTAAGAAAGAACCACTGGAGTCAAAAATGTGTGAGACAGTAGAATCTTTGATATTGGAGAACATTAAGAAGAAGAAACTGGAAAATATATTTCAAGGGTAGGTAACACAGGGTATACCTGAGCTTCTCTTAGAGACTAGTTAGGGTGGACTTGGATGGAATAGCTTAGGTCTTTCAAGGTTTATTCTCCAGTCCAATTTTCATAAGGCTTTATGATACTTGGAATTCAGATCACATCTGTAGCTTCCCAAAGTTCAGGTTATATTATTTTCATAACTCAAATGGGTTGTGGAGGAAAATATTCAAACTGAAAACATGAAATCCAAAGTTGGTTATGAGTTCCCCTAATTGTCATGTGCCTGTAAAAATAGAGATATATACATTCACCTATTATAACATTTAGAGTTTGTGTAGCTGAGGAATTAATAAACAGAAAATTCCTGCTCTGAAGTTGAATGTACAAAGCTAAAGCTGCCTCTGAATAAAACTGTATCCAAAATTTGTGTATGTGCATACTTCACAGGAATGCTTGAAAGATATATTGAAACAGATGCCTAACATAGCAACAATGCAATCTTATGTCTGTTGGTTTTGTTTAAAGATAAATAAACCTTTATAACTGTTATAGAATAACATTTAAAGTGGGGTTAAAACCTACCCAGGCCTATATGTTAATTCCTAGAATTCCTATATCTGTGTAATACATTTCAGAATATGTGAAGTAATGAAGAATAAGTATTTTACAATCTCTGCTCCTTTTGTCATGTGATGCAGTATATAAGTCTAACTCATTCTGAGATAAAGGATTTTTTTTTTTTTTTTGTATTTCCAATTACTTCCATAAGCTATGAAGCATTGTTTGAATGGATTTGTAGCTATAAAATGAACTTTCCTTTTTTTCTTTTTCCTCTTTATCTTTTGTGGTGAAAACATCCTCTTTACCTATTAAAAGAAAGAATAGCAAAGGGACAGCAACAATGTACTAAGTGGGTATCTTCTGTCATTTGGTGTTTCTGCTTTGTGAATAGAGAACAATAGTGGAAATATTCTTTTACCCTTTTTTTTAAATTTTAATAGTGTTATTTCTGCAGACAGTGTAATTTGTGCAGGGAAAAAGAAACTGACTACCTCTGCCTGGGTTTTTTGTTGTTGTTAATGATGCATTGTCCTCCATTCATGTTGGCATCTGTGTGCAGGACAAAGGTTTGTTCCCAGTTCTGCAGAAAAGATATGACTCAACATTGTATAATTCCTTTTGAATTGATTTTACTTTTAGAGACTTGCCTCTCAAATCAATAAAGGAAAAAAATCCTGTTGACACAGGGGATGAACTGACATTTCTATTACTGAGAATTTAATTCTAAAAAGTTGATGAAACTCCTAAAGCTCCAGATGGGATAAAATATTTAAAACCAAGGAATGTAGTGAAAAAAATCATTAATTAGCAAATGAGATGATTGCAAAGTCTTTTCCATCACTTAAAAATTAAGTTTCAGTGCGATCTTATTATTTGTTCCTTAACCTGCTGTACCTATTGTGCTAAGAACCACCAAGGGAAAGAAGATGAGACTGATGTATCTTGTAGGAAACGAAAAGTCTTGCATTTGGTGTCTCAGTGGACTTCTCTCTACAAAGACTGGTTACATGAAGATGAGCATTTAAAACAATTCTTAAAGGTATTGAAACACTTTCTGATGCATTTCAGCATTTTTTAATAAACATACTGTGCCTAAAAACCTCCAACAACAAAATCTATAAAGCATAACTTTTCATACTTAAATTTTCTCCATGAAATCTATAATATAAAATTATTTACATGTGTCTTCCTTGAATGCCTTAGAGATAGTCTTTGACAGAAAATCTAATGTCAATACATTCAATGTCAAAAACATTACTTTCAGATATGAAACTTATAGAACTCCATGCTTTCTAGAAAATGGGAAAAGTTAGGAAGAAATAAAACTACAAGGATGTGGAGGTTCTTTGGACACACTGGTTGTGTCTGCCAGAACAGGGTCTACAGTTGGTATCCAGCAGATCACAAACAGTGAGAGAGTTTTGAGGTCCTTGTAAGAGATGCTAATTTGCCTGAGGAATGAAATGCTATTCCACAGCATTTGTCAGGTACACATGGAGAGTGGCACAGCTTTATGTATTTTTAATAAATAAAGTTATATCCTTACTTACTAGCAACAGTCTTCTGATCTTTCTGAATGAGTTAAAAAGATTTTTTAATTCCCTTCTAAATTTACAAATAGCCATGTCATCTCTGACCCAAGATCCATCTGTTTTTTTTTTTTTTTTTTTTTTCCATGGTGGTTGAAAGATGAAATTATTTTAGGGAGCTTTGCAGGATCTTCCACCATTCCTGATGAAACTCTTTGTCTGCAACTGGAGATACTCATGGGCCTTTTAGTTCTCTTCAGTCATTCACTGAAGACAAAGGGATAAAACATTGAACTAAATTTGGAGAAAATCTTGAGCTTAATTTTTTGTTTTGTTTTGTTTTTGGAGTAGGATACACTGCATATGGAAGCAGAGATCTTAGGATTTTGTACTAGATGGTACTAGATATGTGGTGCTATACTGGAAAGGGGTCATCGTTCCAGTCATCATTTAGTTTTTCAGCTATCTTGGTGCAAGGCTTGTCTTTCTGGCCATGGAGGTGTGTGGCTGTGTATTGTCACACAATTTCTCTGCTTAAGGTTTTTGTGCAATATTAAACAGCAGTGTTATTAGTGATGGTTGAAGTTATATTTGCAAAAACAATATGTAGGATTGTAGGCCAGAATCATTCATGCTGAAATTTATGAATATAGGAGTGTTAATTGGGCTAAAGCAAACCTGATGACTCAGCTCATACATGTGATCCTCATTTTCTTGGAAGGGAAAGAGAAAGATCTATGTGCAGATTACAAAAAAGCATACAGAAAATATTTCCCATAATTTCAGTCATGAAAGCCGGTTCAGTTTGTTTACCTCGTAGTGTCTTTTACATTTAACTGAGGTTCCTGATTGATGGTATTCAGACAATGTCTGCCCCCAAAAGAAGTAAGGTTGGTTTATTTGTTTATCGGTTTACAACTAGGAGTATGTTTTACTTGTTTGTGAGACTTCAACTCAATTTAAAATGCGTGGAAACATGAGGAAAAGAGGAGGAGAACATTAATTTAAAAGTCTTAATCAAACAAACCTGTTTGTTATCATTCTAGATAAGTGATGATGGTGTGGTGTGTTCTCATGCTTCTTCTGACCTAACCTAGATTTCATGTAGCAGTCATGAGTGTTGTTTTAAAGCTTCTCATTCATAGACAAAAGAGAGTCAACATTTTGCCCTCTTGCTTGGTGATGATACACAAAGATTGTTTCTCCAAAGTCAAGCTGAGTATTGACCAGTCTGAAAATTTAAATAGGAACATTCTCTTCTTAGGCATCTTGCATAAATGTAATGATGAAATTTGTTTTAGTAGGCTAGTGCCTGAATTGATTTAGACAGCTGATATGATGCCTTAGATTTATGTTTGAGTGGCCAGATGTTTGCAGATACTGTTTTATTTTGTAGACGATATACAGGAATGTGTTAGATGATGTGTATGAATATCCCATTCTTGAGAAGGACCTGAAAGAATTTCAGAAGATACTTGGGATGCATCGTCGTCAGTAAGTATTGATTATATTTGTGAATGTCTCCTTTTATTTAGAGTGTAATTTATTTTTGTCATCATCTGCTGTAATTCAGTAAAGATAAAGTGAGGAGTGATACAAGTATATAGTCATTTTTACAAATCACCTCTTCTTTAAACTAAATCTAGATTATTCAGTCTTCTCTAATGTTTGTTGGGTAGGGTGTGTGGTTCAACAGTCACATCAATTTTGGTTGGGATGACTTGCAAGTAGAGCGATACTTTGTACAAAAGCTGACAAAATTTCCCTCAGAAGTTGTGGTCCGTGACTTCAGACAGTACCTTAATTCTCATTCTCTCTCTGCAATCTGCAGTACTGAGAACATCTTTTGCAATAGTTATCTTAGTGTTATAATCTTAGTGATAATTATGGTATTTGTAAAAGATACGTCCTTGGCATGTTTTTCCAACAAATGGAGTTTGTTTCCATGGTTTGGCTCTTGGGGCAGTGGAAAGAGCTGTGTCCCTGAGGGTGACTCTGACTGCTTAACCAGGGGGCCCTAGCTGTGTCCCTGTTCTCTGGCAGCTCAGGGGCTGGCAGCATTGCTTTACACTACACTGATTGTGCAAGTCACAGAAAAGTTTTCTGGATGAGCCAGATGTCCTTAGCTTTCCTTGAAGGAGTTCTGCAGCCATTCTGCGGTGACCATTTAATGTTAAAAACTTGTAAACTTTGTATGGCTAAAACTTCCTTTTCCTAAACTTTGACTGGAAAGAGTAATTTGGATTTTCTTTTTCGTTTCAGCACTGTAGATGAGTACTCACCTCACCGAAAGGTAATGCAAACTTTATTGCTGCTGGTTGCTAGATAACTTATCTTACTTTCTCCTCCTCTGCCCACTTCCCTCACTTTTCTTGGCTTCTCAACTGATTGTGACCAGTGGCCAAAAACATGACAGAATACAACAGTGAGGTTAGACCTGCAACATTGCGTAAGGATTTTTTTTTTTTTTTTTCCCTGCCAGTGCAGCCTGGATATCAGCTCTGTGAACTAAGCTGCAGTGGCTGTGACAGTCTTAGCATCTTAACAAGGTTCTCTAAGATGTCAGAATTCAGGGGAGACCTGGGAACATGTCCCCACCAGGCTGGAAAGATGTAGCACCCTGGGCAAACCAGGCTGAGCACAGGCATTGACGTGGATGTCAAGTAGATAGAGCAAAGGGGGGATTTGTTGTGAGAGGGACAGAGAAAGAAAGATAAGAACATGAATCTGTCTATTTAACCGGAGGAAGAAGATGCAGCTGGAGAAAGTTGGCATACAAACTGCACAGAGGTGAATTGCTGTGCTCATCAAATTTACTGGACTGAAGCTGAAGTGTGTAATAAGCTTAAAATGTTCCTGTGGAAATGTGGAGGCAGAACATGAGATTGTAATGAAATTGCTAAATAGGCTGATTGGTACATAGGAAACGTGTGTGTGTGTGTATATATATATATATATATAAGAAATGGGCTCCAAACATGACTACAGAGAACCTTGAATCATGTAGAGTGCTTAGCCTGGGCATGTCCTGTTTCCTCCAAAATTCCCACCTTGGCCATTATTTAGTAAGGCAACTCCTAGTTTACTGATCCAAGAAAGGGTGGGTGGATTTCCTATACAGAAACCTTTTTGGCCAGACGTATGGGCTGAATGCTGTTTTTTGAATTATTGCTTTGTAAAGGGATGCAAAGAGTCACTGTTATCTCTCTCTTCCCCCCTCTTCCCACCCCTCACAGAATAAAACCTTTTTCCACCAATTCAGTCTAAAGGAGAACTGGCTGCAGCACAGAGGAACCATGAATGAAACAGAAGAAAGTAAGTATGATTGAAAGAGTGGAGGAAAAACAGCAGAACTGTTTCTCAAGGGTTGCCTATAATGTAAATTTTTTTAAACTGACATAGAGCTTCTGAACAGGACCTTAGGGCCACAGAAGAAGAAAGATTTGACCTTGTAAGGTTACCTTCCTGCCTCCTACTTTGCAGGGTTCAACAGTGACATGATATCTCAAGGAGGTTTTGCTCTGTTTGGTTCCTCCAGCAGCCCTATAGCAGAGCTGTGTGCCTCCCAGCGTGGCTGGCAGCCCATCCGTCAGGCATTATTCCTGCTCCATTTCATGCTCTCAGCCTCTTGACCTGGATCTTGGTTGCGAAAGGTGAATGAATATGCCTGTCACATGAAATGGGCCAGGATCTGCTAACTCTGGGAACCCGCCTTAGTTCCTTCTCTCCTCTAAAATATCTGTGTGGAGTGCAAGGTGCCACTTCACTGCAATGTCAGCCATTTCAAAATGCAATTTCCCTTCGTTGCTACTAATGCAATAACCCAGTGAGGCTGTCATCCTCCTGTAGTGCCTGTATGAGGAAGGAGGCAGAGGGCAGGATAACACTGTGTGCAGGGGCCAGGAGAAGGACCTGGGTCTCATCCTTTGACAGTATACCTTTATTTCTCACTGGGAACAAGACTCCGGAAGTTCACTTGGAGTCAGTATATTTTTAGTGCTAATTTGTGCCAGAATAAAAACTGAGCTCCTGTCAATGCCAAGTCTTGCTGCACAATACAGGCTGCTGATAAATATCCTCTTTCCGTTCTTCAAATGTAGGTTTATTTGAGGTTTATGTTATCAAGGCTGCATCTAAAAATGTTATTTCCAGATGAGAACCCTCACACTCATTCTTCTTAAAAAGTTGGACATAGCTCATGGGTGAATGGGGAGGGAAGTGTTGTGACACCAGAGAGGGGACAGACTGCATGGCCATGGGAACAGGAAGGGCAGGAGCCAGCAAGGTCAACCCCAACTGCTTTTTTTCTCACTCTTCGGGAGCATGAGCCACAGGAGATGATGAATTTGAGGGAATGAAATACCAAAAGTGGAGATGGAGAGAGGAGAGACAGATGCTGAGGGTGGACATCTGAGTTGGTGTGGTGGAGGTCTGCCGACTGATGGGGTTTGTGGAGGATGGGTCTGTCCAAGCTGCACCGTGCCACTTGACTAGAGGCATTTTATCCCCTAATGTAGGCTTTGCCAGGGTGACTTGCAGCCCACGACTGCTTCCTCCTGCTGGCATTCTCTCCTGCACCTCACAGAGGAGAGCAGAGGCTCCTGGAAGAGATGGCATCGTCCATGCCAATAGATATGGCAGATAGGACGTTGGAAAGGTGTGTGGGGGAACAGGCTTTGGGAGAGTCAGTACAATGGTTGTGCTTGAGGACCTGACCTGTGGGTTGGTTTAGTTCAGTGTTAAAGGATATGTCAATAGCCTGGTTATAAATTAACATAGCTGTCATCATGCCCTCCCAAATGACAGAGAGGAGATTTCAAACAAATTCACTGTAAGCAAGTTGTGTTGCAGTCTGCATATGGAGTCCAAATATTCCTGTCAGATTTTTTTAAAATTTATTTTTCTACCTGGTAATTTAGAGTGCAATTTGATGTCTCTATCTTTTCATGAGTTATATCCATTCTGAAGAGATATCTTGCCATAGGATGATCATCTGATTTACTGTCTGTCAGCAGAGACAGGTTAAGAAAAAATTATAAAATCAAATTGCTTTTCTTCCCCAAGGCTAAATGTTAAGTTCCTCCTTCTTTCTCAACTTCATGTTTTCTTTTCTGCAACACACACAAAAAAGATATTCTCGAGGATAGAGTTCTTAACTGCTTCTGGCATGGTCTCTGTTAATGAAAGTGCCCCGAAGCCATGAAAATTTCTAGGACAAGCGAAGAGCTATTGCTACATACATCTGTCAATAAAAATAATTTTAAAAATACAGCATTTCTAGAGAAGAAAAGTTTTGTCTTATGCTGACATAGTAGCAGCCTGTCTGCAATAAGAAATGCTAGCGTAGAAGGAAATAGAAAGTTTAATCAAGCATTGAGGTGAATATGAACCCAAGAGTTGCGGCAGTCATTAGCAGATGTAATTTTTGAAATATTCATGCAAATCTCTAGCTCTGTTTCTTCCCTTTTAAGTATGGCAGCTGTATTTCAAAGAACTGGCTACAGCAAACTCGACAAAAGATGTAAACCTAAAATTCTGGCAAGCAAGAGTACATCCGTTTTTGTAGCAGAAACAAAGTACTAGCTGAGCTGACCACAGCATTACTGCTGGGAATCTCCCTTCCCAGAGCCAAACTGAATCATGGATTTCAGTGGAAGTGATGAGAGCAGGAATTTCTCCAAACCAGTCCCTTTTCATGTGAGCTGCAAATGATTCAGGGAAAGAGTTTTCAGAAGTAATTGCATTGCTCTTTGGGCAGCCTCTGACAGTGCTAAAATACTCTGGCAGTGCAAGTAGTTTAGATGTCTAGACAGATAAGCTACCAGGAGTGGTTGAAGACTGGAGAGCACTGTTCTTGCAAAGCTTCTTCCAGGTGCAAGTGGAGGTCTGAAATAATTTCTACAGCAGCTATGAAATATACTGAAAAGCGGGATGATTTATCTGGACCTAAAAGGAAGGGAGAAAAGATGGCAACAGCTAAGTTTGCAAAGAAGATAGGCAATAGAGGAGTTTGTCCATTACAAATCCTCATGTTGGGAAGTCTTAAATAGGTATTGCTGTGGGGGTCTCTGTTTCCATTTGCTGGTCCCTCTCATTTTCCAGGGAGAGGAGGTGGGAAGGGGGAAAGTGGTGATGTTTATGCTTAGTTTCATGTCTCTGTGGGTCAGGGTGCAGCAGCCGCCCTTCCCGCAGGTGCAGCAGCCAGGCAGCAGAGGCACTGCCATGGCTGGGGCTGTGAGATTCTCCCCTGCGCTATTCAGGTGTCTCTGCCTGCTGCTGAGTGTGTCTGTCTTCCTTTGTGCAGTTTTCTGCCGTGTGTATATAACAGAGCACTCCTATGTCAGTGTGAAAGCTCAAGTATCCACTTCAGCTCAGGAGATACTGAAGATTGTAGCAGAAAAGATCCAGTACCCAGAGGAGGAGTTGGCGCTGGTGACAGTCACGTTCTCTGGAGGTAAATAACATCCTTTCATTTAATTACTTACCTTTTAGTGCATCGTGTAAGGGAGGGCTGACATTTTCTGGTACAAGGATACAGCTGTTGCTGTGCGAGCCCACAGCTGGATGACCACGGGAACAATGAGGAGCTGCTTCCCAGAGAGTCGTTTCCATGGCAACAGCTCATTCTTGGGTACCATCGGATATGGCATCTCTTCTCTGAGAAGGGAGTGCAAAGGACTCTCAGTCTCCAGCAGTACTGCAAGATTTTATTTTTTCCCAACAGATGAATCTCCTAATTTTGCATTTAATTAATTTGGGAGGCAATGAGGCATGGTTTGCTTTAAAAATATAAAAGGGAATAACAAATATATGTGTGGCTGTTTCCTCATTTACGGCATGGGTAATTATTCTCCAGCAGAAAGGAGGGAGACATATATTTGCACAGTTGAGATACTGAGAGCAATCTAAGCAGTATTTTGGAAGCAGTCTTGCTTACAACTGACATTTTTTGCCCATTATTTCAGTGTTTCTCATTGAACAGAAAAACTTACTGTCTTTAAGGAAGACCAGACTGATCGTAGGTTGATACTAGGGACCAGCCAGACTCTCAAGATTTTCTTTGGTGTCTGGCAGGTCTCAAGCTCTTTGGTCAGATTGTTTTGCTCATTGTGGGATACTCTTAGGTAATACAAAGGAATCCATTTAACTAGGTGTATAGAAATGTGAAGCTGGATCTACAGAAAGGGGCTAAGAGTGTAGAATATCTTGGCCATATTCTCAGATCCTCTGGAGTTAATACATTTAAGGATGCGCTCTTAGATATAGCACTCATTGCTACTTCCTTGTCAGTCTAGTTAAATGAAATATACACAAATGCTGGCTTGTTCTGTTTTTGTACTTGATTCAGAAGTGGAAGGTCACATTTTTCTCCCCCACGGCAAGCTCAATTAAATAACCATTTTTTTCAGGGCACTGGTGTGGGTGGCAGGGAGATGGTGCCCTGGTCTGGCTATTGAGAGCCTGGGCATGGAGCAGCAGCCACATGGGAGCATTACACATAGGTGTCCTGGCCAGCTGGCTACATCATTTGCAGACATGTTCTTTTTACCCTTGTGTGTGCCCAAACTTGCCTCCAGCGCATTTTACAGCACTGCAAAATCACTGTGCTGCTGCTGTTTTTCAGGTCTTGCACTTCTGTTCAAGAGCAGGGCAGGTTTTGCTCTGACAGCAATAAATCTGGTGCTAACTGCCGACTTAGCTAAAGGAAACCAACAATTCATAAATAATGAAACACACTATTATCTTTAGACCACATTGGTTCCCAGGAAAACCACAGAATAGAAGCGATTGCCACTTGGCTGTTCAAAAAGAAACAGTAATTAAAATGGAGGTACAATAAGACTGTCATTTGTACATGACCATTGTAACCCCTAAAATTTTATTTAGTCACATTGCCTGAATTAATTTGAGATACCACAATTTCAGTGTCTTTGTTCTTATAAACACCAGACTGCCATGCTTTTTGTTTTTTATCTATCTGCATGACTCGGAACTGTTGTGTGCCGTCCGCTTGGAGAGCAGCAGTATGAGCATCGGATAACATGTTTTTATTGTACTCCTGAAATGACCAAACAACTACTTTTTTTTCTGTTCAGATTACTTTGAAAAAGCATACTAGTAGTTCATCATATCTTGGTGTCAGTGTGAGCATGGATAAGGGAAAACAGTCTGAAATGATGTTTAGCATTCAGACTCCTCCTGGTCCTACTCCTTCCTCATGGGCAATGAAAAGTCCAAGGTAGCTGTCAACATGCCTGTAGTGCTTTTGGGTCTGTGTAATACAGTTGCTGTAATCAAATCTCATGTGTCAGATCTCCAGAAGATTACTTGGAGCTTGCAGGAAGAGACAGTTTATCTAGGGCACTTCTATAGCTGTGTTCTGAGTTTTGATTTATTTTTCCCCACACCTTTCTCTGGTGCATCTAAGGTTGCTCAGAGCTGAACCAATACTCTGGGAAAAAAAAAAAAAAAAAAGTCCTTTCTCTTTGCTACCAGTTTGGTGTGTCCTGCTCTTTTATTCAGATGTTTCCTAAATTAGTTACTTTAGGTCTAAAGGAATTTCTGTCAATACTGTATTATAAAGGACTCTTCAGCTCTGTTCCATGAGGTGCATTTCATGGTGTTGGGATCCTTTAAACCTCTTTTTTTGTGAATGTCTGTGGCTACGGATGACATCTCCGCCTCTGCTCTTGTCTGCCAGTGACAAGCAACAACTCAGTCATTAGAGGCCAAGACGCTTTGCTCTAACAAGTCACCACATTTACAGCAGATACACTGAGTTGAAATGAAATGTTCTGTAATGCATAGGAGGTTAGACTAGATGATTTAAGGGTTTCTTTCTGTTCTATCCTATTTGAAGTCCAGGTTGGAAGCAGATGCTGAAAGTTTTTGTGGTCTAGTCCAGCATCAGAGACATCTTGCCTTTATTGTGCCTGAATAGTGTGGAGATGATGGTCCCCATAGGGACTGGATTTGATACTCAGTTACATTCTAAGAAGTTGATGTGGCGTTACAAATATATTTGTAATGTTTTCCTCATTTATATACAGCTTCTACTCCTTTTCTGAAGCTTTTGTGGTTTTGTCTTCTGTTTTTACAGAAAAACAGGAACTGCAACCAAATGACTTGGCTATCTCAAAGTCTTTTGAGTCCTCCAGTCGTATGTTTGTCTACCGAAAAGATCTGACTGATTCTTTGGTAAGAATCTGTATTGTATACATCCCACTTTTTATTTGTTTGATTCTAGATCAAGACCTTAATATTCCTCTCGGGCTTTTTCAGTACAAAATTTATTTTTTGCTTCCTTAGTGAAGCTTAACTGAAAAAAAAATTATCTTTCATTAACAGCATTTGACTGAACAGTAATAGAATTTGTTTATCAATTTCAGATAGACCAAAGCTTCTGTACAGCTTAAATTGTTCAATCCACATCAGCCTGGAAAAGCTGACTTGTGCTTGTACAGGACTGGATGGGATGAGAATTATTCAGGGCTGTGTAACTTTTCCCCCCACCCCCCACCCCCATTGTGCCTCTGTAACACTTAAAGTGGCTGGTTCATAATCATACAAGGTGATAGACAAACTCCATGGAATTAGTACATGTAGAAATAGATGTTGTGGGAGTTCTATCGAAATTACTGGGCGTGTCACTGCAGTGTTTTGGCAGCCACATGGTCAGTCTGTGGCTGGCATATATCACTGGCAGTATGTCCTGTCCCCTTCCTTGTCTCTCCATCCTCTTGCTAGTTCTGAGGAGGGGAGCGGATTGAAGGGCAGCAGGTCTCTCATTCCCTCTGTCCTCAAATTGGGATTGCAAACTCTCCACCCATGATTTCCCAAAACCTCAGTGAGGCAGTAACAGTCAGGCACTCAAAAGATTACCCTTTCACTAGTTTTCTGATAATTATGCAGTTGTTTCAAGGAAAGCGCAGGGACATGGCAACTGACTTCTGCATGCTGTCAGTGCTGCTAGCATCTGTGCATTCATCCTAGGGATGAGAAATGTCTATTTACATTTTGTTGGATCAGTGTGCCCCGAAGAGCTGACACACCGCTATCATTGTAATATGTCACCCCCATTATCTGTGGCATTCTAGCCACCTCTAAAAATGTGAATATTAAGGGAAGATTTCCAGCGCAGACAGGTGACAGCCAATCTAGTTTCATTAGTTACATGATAAAAATCGCAAAACTTGCTGTAACTGTCAGAAATATAGCACCAAAGTAATGGCTTAACTGATAAGAGTAATCTTTCATCTTGGCACATGGTTCATGTGCCAAGTTTCAGACTGATGAAGTAAAAAAACCCAAGAGAAATGCAAACCCTTGAAAATCCAAGCTAATACTGGAAATGTCAAATGACCCTTAACGCCAGCAGTACCAGTGCACTCCACAGTAATATGCTGAGTAACTTTTATGAATCAGGACCCACAGTATTTTACTGTTTGTTGGTGATTACATTTGGAGTAGATTAATCATCAAATGTATGGATTTATCTTATATGTAAAGGTGGATTGGTGGGCAAATTCTAATCTGGTGTGTTTGCAGAATGATTCCTTTATCTTATAATACAAAAAGTTCGTGGCGTCTTAATCTAGATTAATTTTTCTGATGGTTTCAGGGTTTTTATTTTCATTATGCTGTCTGCTTGGTCAGTGTTTTATATTCAAGGTTTAGAGAAAAAGAGGCCAAATCCAATAGAGTCATTGATCCTATTGACCCATTTCCTGTTTCAAGCTATTTATTAAATAGGCTGTAACTCCTTCATTCTGACTAGTGGGGGGAAAAAACTCTTAGAGTGCACTTAGAGAAGATTACTTAGCTCTGTTTGGTACCTTGGTCCCGTAGTTGTTTCATTGCAGAACTTTTGGCTTTGCTGAGGATTTTTTTGCTCTTGGCTATTGATTTAGAACCCATTTGCTGAAAATGAGGAGTTGCAGCAAAGGTCGGTGAGAATTTTGGGAATCAACACCTGGGATCTTGCCTTAGAACTAACAAACTTTGACTGGAGCCTTTTCAATGCCATTCATGAGGTAAGAAGCAACATGTCCACTTCCAGGTATATTACTCTCATGCAGCACTGTGCCGTTATGATTCATTTTGGAGCATCAGTATTCCTTGATGCTCAGTTCACCATCATGACAGCATGATTTGGCAGCTCTCAGTAGTGGTGGCATTGAATCAGGTCCCAGAGATGTGTTGCAATCCTTGATACTGAAAAAATTTGTCAAAGGTTTGTAACTTCCCTGTGCTGGGGCATCTCATATGTTCCCTGTATACCTGGTGGGTCTTACTGAGATTTGCCTCAAGAGTAGAAGAGCAGGATTATTCTCAAAAAACTGTCTGTGTGAATATGTTATATATGCAAATTGTCCTTTGCACTTGATAATGTTCCAGAAAATATAGGATTCTACAAATAGGTTTCCTTGATATCACTTCAACCACAAAAGAATTCACTATTTCAGCAATTTAGATGATCACATTACCGTTCTTGTTAGGTTTCAGTGAGATAAAAAATACTGGGCAGGCTTTATAAAATGGGATAATGACCCACTTCAGTGCCCGTCGGGTTGTTTAAATGGCTTTGATAGGTTCTGGTGTGAGCTGCTGAGTAAAATACACAGTTAACAGTACAAAATGTCACTGGAAAATATCATTCACTGAAAAGCATGTTGGCTTTCTGAGAAAATAAATGGGAAATTCCCTTGCTTCTCATCAGATGCTCTACTTGATCTTTCATTTCAGGTTCTTTTATTCAGGTTAGACACTTGAAATCTAGAGCTGGCCAAGTGGGGTTTTTTGCACAGAAATCAAGACCCACACCTCTGTGGATGAAACTTGGCCATTTTTAGGAAGAAGTTTGAATAGAAATTTTTCAGATTCTGAAATGGTCTGATATGGTTGGTTTTTCATACTGGAACAGAAGTGATAAAATACAGAATGAGATGCATTGTTTATGTCCTGTACCTGGCTGTAGCCAGAAGTGGAACTGCAGGAAATCTCACAAGAAAAGCATGTCTTGCAGGACTTCCAGTCCACCTGCCTACTGTAATAAGCCTCTAGACTTTGCTAAGACAAACCTGACCTCGAATCATTTGTGATTGGCTTATGGATAATGAGAAAATAGCCATTTGTATCCAGGTCTTGTTTCAAAAACATACTTCTAAATAATTCATAATTCATTTACATTTAAATTGTTTTTATATCCCTAATAATGTTGTCAATGTCTTCCAGCAAGAGCTTATATACTTCACATTCAGCAGACAGGGCAGTGCTGAAAACACTGAGAATCTCAGTCTTCTGCTTCAAAGATGCAATGAGGTCCAGCTTTGGGTTGCCACCGAGATACTCCTTTGCAGCCAGCTTTGCAAACGTGTACAGCTAGTCAAAAAGTTCATCAAGATTGCTGCCCAGTAAGTTGCTAAAGTTATAACAAAAATCCTTGAATTCACATGCTTTATTTGGTGAGAAGTAGGTGCAAAAGCAAAGAAAGAAAACTAATGTCATCCTATGTTTTAGTAGTATAGTAAGCACGCCTAGATAAAACAGTTCATAAATAACAACAGCAAACACTGGCCAAAACTAGATGTAGTACAGTATATGCTGCTCACATCTTCCCCAGCAGCTTAGCTGCTGTATCTGCAGCATCAACTGCAAAATGCCTGATGGTGCAGAGATACCTCCTTTTTTAGCAGAGATAACCTGAGGACTGTCATACAAAATTCTTTGAGCATCATCACAGTTATCCACCAAAGACTACAGAAACAAAAAAAACTCTGTTATAATCTTAAAGGTCCTACCTCTAGAGAGGAAACTAGTTGGAGTAAGCTGTTGCCCTATGTAATCCTCTCTGGAGTGCTTGTCTGTTTATTGGAGGTGGAATGCTTCATCGATTAGATTTAATGGTCTATTACCAAATAGTGCTGGCATTTATTTCTTGGAACAGAATACAGATATATACTGTAGACAGAGAGTTCTTTTCTCTGTAATCACTCTTATTTTAGTAACCAAGGAAATGGCGCAATTTAAATATGTGCAACCATTCTCCTCGCCTCTCCACTTGTTGGTCTTCTGCAGTATTTGAATATGCATGTTCATGGAAAATGTATAATTTGTTCCCTTCATCGACTGAGTTGATTTAATTTGCAAGGCACTTACATAGAAAGGACTGTTCTCTGCTGAAGCAGTGCCTTTGGTGAAATGAATTCTTCTAATCTAATCTAGTGTAACTCATAAATGTGATTCAATTTAGTTTGCAAGTTGTATGGTATCCAGTAACACATTCATTTTCTTCTGTATCGATGGCCAAGTTTGGTCCAATTACATAAAAAATGGTTGATCTGTGTGCCTTGCTTGCACCACAGTAGCATTAATTTGCATTCCAGGAAAAGTTTCATCTCTGTTCCACATGAGTAGGGATATATTTGTCACCAGACTGAAATGTTGCTCTGTTTGAATTAATTCCATCTCTGTTAAGTGAAAAGCCAGAGTTGTGGAGACAAATACAGTTGTCAGTAAACAGTAGACAGGCTCTCCCAGTGCACTGTGGAAGCACCCATCATCATAGCATGTACATGGTGAAATAATGGATAGACAAATAAGTGAGTGTGTAGTTTGCTCGGGATCTTCTTTTAATCAGAAAAACAGCTTTCTAAAAGAAGACATTATCATATATCATCAATTCTGGAAGAGTTGATGAAAGAGGAATAATTAGAGTGGAAGGATTGTGTGCTGAGTACAGGAGGATATGAGCCAAGCAGCCCTGATAAAAGGCAGAGAGCCGTGAGCAGCTCTGGCTGCTCACTATTCTCTGCTCCCAGATTGAGCCAGGAATTGGTGTCTCTTGACTTTCAGCTTGTCATCAAAGCACCAGGATTAAGATCTGATGTCTAATGCTTGTGTGCTTCACTGTTGAGGAACACCTGAAGAAGGAAGGCTTTTACACAAGTGTATCAATACATAAAAGAGAGACAGAGTTTTTGAAACCTACACTTCTGTTGATGAGCCAGTCTAAAAATCTAAAATGGAAAACAAGTGATTTGATAGAGAAAATGAATTAGCATGTTGTTAGAACTGAGCACGAGGGGGGCAGAGTGTGATAACTGGGCCTGTTAGGAACAAGCTCAAGGGAAGCATGCCAAAGCTTGAAGGATGGTGGACTGATGAGGGCTCTCCCTCTGCCATTTCATTTGAGAGAAGGGAAAGATGTTTAGAAACCAAGAAGGACATAGAGTGTATTATCAGTAAATTCACAGATGACACCAAGTTAAGCGGGAATGTCGATCTGCACAAGGATAGGGAGGCTTTACAGAGAGACCTGGATAGATTGGATCGGTGGGCCAACGTTAACGGGATGAGCTTCAACAAGGCCAAGTGCCAGGTCCTGCACTTGGGCCACAACAACCCCCTGCACGGCTACAGGCTTGGGGAGGTGCGGCCAGAGCTGTCTGGAAGAAAAGGATCTGGGGGCTCTAATTGACAAGCAGCTGAACACGAGCCAGCAGTGAGCCCGGGTGGCCAGGAGGGCCAACGGCATCCTGGCTTGTGTTAGAGATAGTGTGACCAGCAGAAGTAGGGAGGTGATGGTCCCCCTGTGCTCTGCACTGGTGAGGCCACACCTGGAGTTGTGTCCAGTTTTGGGCACCTCAATACGAGAGAGATCTCGAGGTGCTGGAGCGAGTGCAGAGGAGGGCAACAGAGCTGGTGAAGGGCCTGGGAATAAATCCTTTGAGAAGAGGTTGAAGGAGCTGGGACTGCTCAATTTGAGGAAGAGAAGGCTGAGGGGAGACCTCATCACTCTCTACAGCTACCTGAAAGGACATTGTAGAGAGGTTGGTGCTGGTCTCTTCTCACAGGTGATTAGTGACAGAAGAAGAGGGAACAGCTTTAAACTCCAACAGGGGAGGTTTAGACTGGACATTAGGAAAAAATTTTCACAGAAAGAGTGGCCAGACAGTGGAATGGGCTGCCCAGGGATGTGGTGGAGTCACCATCCCTGGATGTGTTTAAGGGTTGTTTAGATGAGATGTTGGGGGATACGGTGTAGGGGAGACCTTTGTAGAGTAGGGCGGATGGTTGGATTCGATGATCCAAAGGGTCTTTTCCAACCTGAATGATTCTGTGATTCTATGTTGAGGAGTTAGAGAAATAGATCAGCATAGGGTCAGAATAAATGGATTACAATGGCAGCTCTCTTGCTTCCCAAATAGTGGCTGACTGTAAAAGATGTACCTTCTCTATGCAGTTCTTTGTGAGAAATGGGCACATCCAATAGACTGCTTATCTAGCCTATGCTGGACATCTTTCTTGTTTTGGAATTAATTACCTTTGGGAGCTGCCTAACTTTAGTGTTAAAAGGAGTCTACACAACAAAGTAAGGATTAACTTTTAAGACAGCTGAACTGAGAAATACACCATCACAGTGGTGAGTAAAAGCTTAATAAAACTTGTAACAAGTGCTGGCATGTTTCCAGTCTAAGGCCTCATCACTTTTCCCCGATGATAAATCCCAGTGAATGCAGTGGATTCATTCATACTTAAAATTATCTTAAAAGAGGGTTCTCACTCTCTCTCACACACACACGTATGTATGTTTATAGTGGTTTATAGAACCTACAAGAGAAAGGGGAATCTTTTTGTTTGAAAAGGACTTAATATTTCAGGATTTCCAATTTTCTAATGGACTAGAAATAAGCAGGGTCTGATCTTATATAGTAAAATGTCAAAGAATAGAGGTATCAAGCAAATTCCATAGGGACCTGTATTGGAAACAGTGCTAACTGCAACTAATTTATAGGGGTATGTAAATTGAATGTTAATCAGATTTTCAGACAACAAAAATGATGAGGGATTGCAAATGCATTGGAGGATAGAAAAAAAAAAAGATCTGAAAAGTCTAATGGCATGTGCAAACAGCAATAGGATAAGATTTAATTTAAGATAGATGCAAAGTAATTCAGCTAGGGAATGCTAATACTTAACTGAAGAAATAAATGCCTGATTGTAAAGAACAGTACTGTGACAGAGGTCCTTGGGTGATAATAGATGACAAATTAAAGGCAAGGACAAAGTGTGATGCTGTTCCAAATAAATAATTTCATCTTTGTTTTATGCTTGCATAGGAGAAAGGTGTAAGAACTTAGAGCCTAAACAGTAATTATGTTTCTCCTTCCTTCCCCACCGTCTCACTACATGTCCTTGGTAAGAATGAAACACATGAGAGAAAAGTTAAAATAAATTACAAAGAATTCAATGAAGGAAAAGTAGATTGCAGGACCACAAAGAGAAAGTGAAGGAACCGATGTTGTACAATTTACAGAAAAGATGAAAAAGGGGATGAAAATACGTACAATACAACAGAATAGAGATCAAGGAATTATCCTCTGTGGTAAAGGACAGCTGGGAGTAACTTGAACATTGAAAATGGAAAATTACTTCTGACAGCAAAGGGAAAAAATAATCTGCCAACAACAGTGGTGATGAGACAGTGGAACATTTGCTAAAAAACTTCTTAGAGACCCCATCACCTAGAATGCAGGTGGTCATGAGAGGACATTTAATGAGTTCATTATGTGGAAGATGACTGTACGTTAGTGCTGAGGGTTGAAATGGGACTCAGTAACCTAGGATACCTGTGCATTCCATTTATCTGAGTACAAAAAAGTCAGAATACAGTGTTTATATTTTTATTCCGCAGCTGTAAAGCCCAAAGAAATCTGAATTCATTCTTTGCTATTGTTATGGGTCTCAACACTGCATCTGTCAGCCGGCTGTCTCAGACTTGGGAGGTAAGATACATCTCTGTATCTTTTAGACCCTGTCAAAACCATTTCTCACAAAGTTTGTATACTGTTGAATTACCTTTTCTTTCTAATTACTGTTTTTTCATGCTGAAATCAAACATGGAATATTAGTAGAGAAACTTCTCCGTGACTTGAAACTTGAGATACACAGCTATTCAAATAAAATAAATGTCCTTCGAGAGCTTTTAAATAAGAACAAACCAAGGAGACCTTACCCTCTTAAAAAAAATCAGGTAAATTATCCTAGAATTTAAAGTAGCTGTCAGAACAGAAAGTCTTACACAGGTGGCTTCAAACAAGCAGTACCTTATGGAATAATTTTTTTTAAAATTGCAAAGTAGAAATAAACCCTCTTTAATTCTTCTTTATCAGCTCTTTCGCAGCTGCATCTTGAACAACAAATTTAGGAAATAGGCCATGAATAAGGAGCATACTGGAGAACAGAGATTATCTGCTAAGGAAGCTACCAGTTGCTAGAGGGAGCACGGGATGTTTAGAGGCGGATCCCACTGCGATCTGTTTATATTGTGGATTTGTTTTTCCATCCAAGTAAATTATTGAGTGGTAGTATCTGCAAACTTACTATATCTGCTGATGAACCAAAAATTGCAGGAGGAGTACTTTAGTGTGATGGGGTGAAGCCTTATCCCTCCCCCATGTCCCCAACACCACAAGCAGGCAGTACTCAAAAATTATCAATCTGTAATACAAAGTGACAGACAACGACTGTGATCTCCTGCCATGAAGATACTCTTGAGCACCAACAGCTGAAATCAAATGGCCATCAGAGACTTAGAAACCTACCTAACACTGTCCAGAGCAAAGTCTTCCCTCTTAGCTGAAATCATGCATATGGAAACATCACTGTGTATGTTAGTGGCTTTGGCACAGAGAGAAGCAAGGGCAGTGACTGCTTCTGTGGAGAGAAGTTTCCTGGGACTGAGACAGGCAAGGAGGAGCAAAATTTAAATAAATGTATAATAAAAATTTTAGAGAAAAATACATACCTGAGGATGACAATACACAAACCCCTTGTCTCTCCCATTTCTAAAATGCTCCCCTAGGGAACATTTGCCCTTGCCTGCTCTTAGGTGTTGCCTCCATCCTATTTCTCTGAGCTTTGGTAGGAGAGTGGAAGGGATAAGGTATTGCATCAAAGGCAACGAGTGGCGATGTTGTAGATCTCTCCCACACAGAAGCACAGAGAAGGCTGCTATGTGGTGAGACCTCTGGAGGTCATGCGCTGCTAGTGGACTTCTGTCAGGAAAAGCAGAATATATTGCTTGTTGGAACAAGGAGTGCATCTGCATATGTACTGTTGTAAATATGTCATATTTCTGTGTGTGAAATATTTATGAAGTCATGCATATTTTTTTTATTTATAAAACTTCACTGCATGGGAAGTTTCAAAAGCAGAAGGTTATTTGCATTAGTAATGTGATTTCTAGAAAGTAGAGCATTGTTTATAAATTAATTATAATTACTTACACATGTAAATGAAACCTTCTGAATTTAAGCAACCATTTAGACACTCAATTATATTGGCTCTGCACTTGAATTCTTAAACAAGTAGTATACTCCTAGATGTATTCTTCTACTTTTTTTTTCTACAGTATGCTGTGTTTTAATGACCCTAACTTTCCCTGATTGAAGATACTAAGCATATGCAATTGCAGTTCCATGTTCAGTTATTTTAGCATTTTCAGCACACAGCACATCCACTTAATCTTAATTGTTCTAAATCTCTTTTCTCTCAGTAATGTCACTGTGGCTGTCAGGGTTTAATGACAAGACAGGATTTGCACTAAGAGGGGATATCTTTCACTAGACTAACTAGTATGGTTGGAAAAAGCAGGCAGGCTTTAAGGTCCACACACCATTCTTCAAGTTTGAAATACCAGCAGCAGAATTCAAACTGAAGAACAATTGCTTTGAGTATAATGAGGTGAATCCATTAAAACATCTTAGAGATGAAGTGGATGCTTGTGGAGCAGAGTGGGTGTTATCATATGGGGCAAGAAATTAGTTTGTGCTTGGACTCCCTTGCAAGGTGTTTTTTAAGGAAGATTCTCTTTCTCTGGCAGCAGCAGGTGCCAGTAGTACCACTGGTCAGCCCTGGGGTGGTGCGTCAAACAGCACTGAGTGTTACACCTGTTCATTTCTAGAACCCATGTTTTAGGGGAAGATTGATTGCAACAAATGATTTAACCTGGATGCAATCACAGTGTCTGAATTCTCAGCCTGTGTTACTGTTTCTAACTTGATACGGGTATTAAGGTAAACGTAGCAGACATGGAAGCTAGGGAAGAAAATAAAAACAGCTGCTAACAAGCAGTTTCCATAAAAGAAGGATGCAGGTCCCCAAGGTGGGCTGCAGGGTCTGGTGCCTTATTGGCATCACACTGAATATGATCTGTAATTGCTCTTGGAGCTGAGGGGCAGAAGTGAACTGTCCAAGAAAGTGACAGGTGCTCCACACATGGCATTCTCATGGAAAAAAATGTCTCAGCATTTTTATGCCTATGTGTGTTTGGGTTTTTTTAAATCAGATTTACTTTTTTTCCTGTTTTCTCCACTTCAGAAAATTCCTGGGAAGTTCAAGAAACTTTTCACTGAACTTGAAAGTTTGACGGTAAGTACGGCGTTGACAGCAGAATGGCATTGCTTGTCTTTACCTGCCTTCCTTCTTCCTAATTTATTTGGAGGCTGCTTGTTATTATCTGGAGCTAAACTTGTCATGTCAGATCTGCGATTTGCTGAAGGCCACGCAGCTCTCTAGAGCTCAGAGGTGGTCTCCAAACACAAAAGGAAAAAGGCTGTATTCCTGACAGCTGGACGAAGGGCAGAGAGGTGAATGTAGTGTTGGTTCCCTAGCATCAATTTGGAAGCTGTTCTTTTGCTCTGGTGGTTAATCAGCCTTTATCCAAAGCAACGTGCCATGGATCAGGAGAAGAGGAGGACAGCTGAAGTTTAAAAAAAAAAAATCAAAATCAGAGGCTAAGGGTCTTTGTCAGCATTATCAAAGCTGAATAAACAAGTGTTTCCTCTGGCTGTCATGGAAGCGGGTGCATGGTGAGATCACTGCCTGGCGCGGGGAACATGAGATCCAGCCTTTAACGGTTGTCACGCTTCTGTACTTGGAGTCCTTTATAAATTAATGTGTTTTCAAGGTTGTGTGTGAGCTGCTATACAGAAACATTCATTTATATGGGAAATTGAGATGACTTTTTGAATTACTTACACAACACCACTGAAACATACTCTTATTTTATTTTAAAGTCTTCAATATGCTGTATTGATCCGAGAGCAGTTTTTGTGAGGATTTTTTTGTTGTTGGGTGGGTTGGCTTTTTTTTAAGAAGAAATTAATCAACAATACATTCTGGGATACATTTTGTGCCAGACTGTAAAATGAAGAGATTTGGTAGTAGAAGTTTGTGGGGAAATTACAGAGCAGTCCCAGTGAATCTATTCTGCAGTTTACTCCCATTTTAGCGCTGCTTCATCTAGAAGAACGTAATTGCTTTTGTTCCTTTCACTGTTTACGTTTCCTGTTCAGTTTAGTAAGTCACCTAGCTTAGAAAACCTTTATCTAGCTTGTTTCCTGAAGAAACCTTTTATGTCTAAATCATGTTCAGATCATAAGCTCATAATGGATTTAGAATTGCTCTTTTTATAGCCTATTGATTTTTCTCTCTATTATCTAAATCGTTTTGTAGGATCCTTCTCTGAATCATAAAGCTTACAGAGATGCATTCAAGAAAATGAAATCTCCGAAAATTCCCTTCATGCCCTTACTTCTGAAAGGTAATGTTAAAGCTTGGCTGCTCTTCTTCGTTGTGGTTAATTAAAAGAAGTGTAAGCTGGCACTTCCTTCACGTGGTCTTATGATAATTATGTGGCAGTTGTAGTAGTATCTACAAGATAGCACTTGGTCTGAGTAATAAACTGCTGCCTTTTAAGACAGGGGGAAAACAGGAATTTTCACACAGGTTTTCAGACTTCAGTACCTTCCCATCACGCATGGCTAGAGCAGTGTGCCAATGCTTTGGCCACATCCTCTTCCCTAGAGAAGCGAGACCTTGCAAGCCCCAGAGCAGGGCTGCCCAGCTGCGCTGGGAGCATCCTCACAGGTGGCCTCAGCCATGCTGCTGTTTGGAGATGCTTGTCCTGCCTTGCCAGGGTGAGCATACTTGGTGTCACCCTGAAGGCAGAACTTATCTGTCTATCTTGAGAGAAAGGGATTTTCAAGCCTCTTATAGGTCTGAAAGAGATAAATAAAATTTTACTATTAAAAAAAATATTTTTAAAAATCTGTTAAGACAAAATACAACTACTTGCTCAATGCAGAGAACTGGGCAGCTAATTAAGTGACAGGTATTTCAAATATTCCATTGTCTTGGAGTCATTAATTGTTAATTGCCTTGTCTTTGAACATGGCAAATTCATTTGATTGTTCCTGTATTCTGAAAGTGTTCTCTTTAGGCTGTTTATTCCAGCCTGCTGCTGCTGTGAGTTTAAATTATTTGAAGACAGTTCTCCAGATCAGTTGGTGACGGTTCGGGAGCCATCAGGCACTTCCTCTCTTTGCTCTCATCAAAGGAGTTTGCATTAATTCAGATGGATACGATTATCAGGGCTTCAAAATCAATGTTTTTAAAGTCTTCTCAAATATGTCTTGCCTGCAAAGGCAGCAAACACAAACAAGTACCTTGTAGCAATGATGTTTGCACAGCACTACGATATAGTGTGTAAAAACATGTGCGTAAGCAGCATTCATGTCTCTAAAATGTATTGGAGATAGCAATAAGACTTTGCACATTATTACAGTAATTTTCTTCAATACAGCGATCCATAAGGAGATGTTGCCAAGGTCGGTAATTACCGAAGTATTGCACAGTATGTAGGACTTCATTCCATGTCAGGCATGTTTGTATTAACGCTGTTTCCAAGACCAATGAAATAAGCATGGATAGCATAGAAATCATTAGTAATGCAACAAATTACAGTATTTCAGCATAAGAGAAACAAAAGTAGTTTCTAGAAAAAAATGAAAATCATTAATACACTTTAATTATGAAAAATAACTTTCGAGTATTCTTTTAAAGTTAGTTAAATTTAAATACAGAGCTCTCTTACAGCAGACAGATACAACTTCTGAAAATCAGGCATATTTTTCAAATGTGTAATAAAATACTGTGATATACCCTTACAACCTAGCTCAGATGCAATTTTCTGCTCTGCTGAATTTATCTAGACTCTTAGCTGTTGGCTGCAAAGCAAATTTCTGTTCCTTCCACCCTCAGAGATGTACACGTTGCTGTCATTGACTTAAAAAGCTGTGTGGAAATTTCTGCTTCTATTAGAAGTTCTCTATTAGACGTGACTGACAGTTTTTAAGTGCATTGATACAGAGACAAGTAATGGCTGTGTCCTGAAGCCACGTCCTTTTCCTGTCCCTTTCCCAGAATGCCCCAAAGCAGCCCAGCAGAGGAGGTATAGGGGGCTCTCTCCCTCCTTTCCCCTGGGTTTTAAGGATCCTCCGCAGGGGCAGGGAGGTGCTTGCAGCATCAGTGCCTGCCCCACTTACTCAGGGTGGCCATGGCCGGGAGGCAGCCTCCAGCCCAGCTGCCCTGGGGGCGCAGGAACTCTCCATCACCCCTCACACAGAGCTCTGCCTAATGCCTCTCAGCCCTGGGTTTCCACCTGCATGTGAAGCTATTAACATTTCCTTTCTAAGCAATTAGAAAATGCCCCTCAGGCACAGAACAAGTCTTTGAAACAAGAGGAAATAAATCACGTTGGCAGTTTTGAGGGAGGATGAAGGTGGTGGTGGGGTGACAAAGCATCCCCCAGCATCAGCTGCAGGTTTCCACTCCTAAAATCCCATGAAACTAGGGAGACCAAGTGAGCATCAGAGGGAGTCCTAGAGATGAGCACAGGAGAAATGCTGAGATGCACAGTTAGACTGGTGGGTTGGGGGTTGGCACCTCTGCCAACAGTGCCATTTGCCTGCTGGCAGACACAGCTGTGCCTTTTAAGAAGGAATGGTATAGGAGTCCTTTCTTGTTACAGTGGTGCTATATCCTCCTGGTACTACTGGGTACCCACAGATCCAGGAGAGCTGATAGGGGACATGGTGGCGGTGCTCCTGCTAGTATTTTCATAACCTGGAGGGTGCACAGAGTCAGAGCTTCAGCCCCCTCTGGGACTCTGTCATGTCCTTGATACTTCATGTCTGAGATAGGTCACACTTTGTGTCCTAATATGCATTAGAAAAATGGAGAAAATGACCTCAAACTACTGTTTTAATTGTAATCTTAACTTAGCAACATTTGTTTCACTTGATATTCCCTCTGCTCCAGTTCATTACACTGTGTTCAGCTCCCTTCCTGGAGCCAAATATAGACCTTTTCCTTTTCCTCTCACTGACCTTTTTGTTGCCTTTACAAATTCTCTCCAGCAACACTGTGTAAAAGTATTTTTCCCCCTAACCATAATGCTTATTTCAAGGCTTTTAACTTCAGTTTGGTGGCTTGTGTTTAACCTCCCCAGCTGGCCATCGCTATAGCCTGTGTCTCTGGAGAGGATGTTAGAATGTGTCCCACAGAGAGAGGAGAAGGGGAATCAGAGTCAACTGATGGCTCTGCCCCCATGGAGCTCTGGGCTCAGCCTCTGGCCAGCTGCAGGCCAGCCACAGCCATGGGCAGTGTGGACAGATCAGTGCTGCAGGGTGTGGAGAGCAAGCATGTCATGCAGGGCCATCCATCCCTCTGGATGCGCCCGCCTGCTCCCAGCCATCCTCTGTATGTTGTGCACCCCAGAAGTAACACAGACCAGGTTTAGTAAGAAATCTAAGAAATTTAGTTTATTTTGGTAAGAAATCTTCCACTTGAAAATTCTCTTGTTATAATGATGTGTACATAGTGGTTTTATCTAATAATCTCTGCATGTCATCATTATACCAGGTTTTTGTTCCACTGTTATAAGGTATTGTGTCAATCCTTAATGGGATATTTTCCTCTTTTTTTTCTTTTTGATGCTGCTTAGTAATTTCATTTCTTTGTTTTAAACAACCAAGCTCTGAAAAATAATTATTTTTCCTTTATTTTTTTTCAGATGTAACATTCATCCATGAAGGAAATAAAACTTTTCTGGATAACCTTGTTAATTTTGAAAAGCTGGTAAGTTAATTTTGTCCTTCCTGTTTTTGAAAGAGATTCACATTCTGTTTTTCCCTTTCGCTTCCTTCCCTTTTAAGATGAAAAGGTTTTCTTCTGGCTTAATCAAGAAGAAATGAACAGGAAGAAATAGACAGGGCTAAAAAGAGCAAGCAGGATAAACCAATCAACAGTCTATCTCCCCTGCCCCTTTCCTCTGCTCCTCTCTCTCCTCACTCCTTCTTTCCCCACTTCTGTGTAAAACGGCTAAGCCAGTGGTGGCCAGCATCACTGCCACACAGTCTGGTCTTTTTTTTTTTTTTTTTTTTCCCAGTGAGATCTATGCCTTTGTACCACCTTGTAGACTATTTCTCCTCAGTTAAGTTCTCCTGCTTCACCTTCCTCTGATTTTTTTTTTTCTCAAGGCACTAAAGAAAAGGTTTCTCTAATTTATCACTTGCCATCGGTTTGCTTATTCCAGGGATCTGAAATGAAAGCAAAATTTTTATTCTAGGTTAGATGATGAAGAAAATAATGCCTGAAATCTGAATTAAACTGACTGTAAATAGCACCGTAGAAGGGCACTCACTGACACTGTGTCTTTGGCCACATCTACTCTAGACATATGACATCTACTCTGGCATGGTATTACTGATAGAGGTTTGATTTATCTGATTTAGATATTTCATTTCTTTGTTGATAACATTTTTGTAGCACTGAAAGCCACAGTTTATATATCCGAACAGTGGTGGAGTGGAGAAACATTTGGATTTTTTTGTTGGCCTGGAATATTTGATAAAGAAAGCAAAATGTTCTTCCCAGTTGCTCTAGATGTGCCACGGGACTGTGAGTTCAGATGGCTGTGCCTGGTGAATTGTTCCCAACTAGTTTCTCCATGGGTTTCTACTTGTTTGAGAATGAACGTGCAACCATAGAGTTATTCATGAACCAGATGTTGAACTTATTTTCACATCCTATCATAATGTATGTTGTCTTTCAACTTGCAAGCAGATGTAGACTTTGACTTTTGAACCTGAGCTCCTCTTTTTGTGTTTTCTATTTGATTTCTCTAACTTTTCTTGTTGCAGAGTTTACAAGAACACTGATTTGCATTTGATGAAAGGTTTTCTTGTCCCAAGTCCATTAACTGTTTGACCTTTAGGTGTTTGCATAAAACTCATTAGCATGTTCTTCTTCATTGCCTCTCGGAAGTACATCCAATTAACATGTAAATTAAACTAGCTCTTGATGCACAGTAATTGTTACTAAAATCCCCCCACTGGCCCATATATTTATTTAGTGAATATGTAGGATCTGATTCTTGTTCCAGTCTTAGCCAGACCTTGTTAGTTTGTTTGTTTGTTGTTTAATCATGTATATATTTAATGTATGTTGGGCTTGCTGGGTAAGACTTCCTATCCTTTCTGTCACCATTGTGTCTCCAAAAGCAGTGGGAGCTTTGCTAATTGACTTCAGTGAGCCAGGATTTCACCTTTTCCAAGCAGATGGATAATGGGCATTTTAAAT